TGTTCAGAGGAGGGAGGAGCTTCCTCTGGCTGCATCCCTAGAAGTGGTGGTTAAGGGGGGCGCCGCCGCTAGGGTTGAGCGTTCGGAGGGAAAGGCTGGGGGGCAGGCAGGTTTAATGGACTGCAGACGTTGGTTTGTCGTCTGCTGGGCTGAGAGTGATGTGCGGAGGAGAGACTGGGGACTGGAGGAGCATCTCCCCTAGGTGAGGCTGAGAGAGCTGGGACTGCTCAGCCTGGAGAAGAGAAGGCTCGGGGGGGTTCTCATCGATGCCTACAAGGACCTGAAGGGAGAGTGCAAAGAGGACGGAGCCAGGCTCTTCTCAGTGGTGCCCAGAGAGGTGGTCGACGCTCCACCTTTGGAGATACTCAAAAGCTGTCTGGACACGGTCCTGGACGACCAGCTCTGGGTGGTCCTGCTTGAGCAGGACAGGTGGGACCAGATGGACCCCAGAGGTCCCTGTAAGCCTCAGCCATTCTGTGATTCTGTAATGAATTATTGTGTATGTGTACATACATACAGTATGTGTGGTAATAACAATAACAAAAAAAAAACCCTTCCTTGCCTGTTTTTAGTGTCTTTTTGTTCTCTTCTGTTGACTCTGTCCTAGTGGATGTGAGTCAGTTTTGAAGAAGGACTGATTCATGAAGTATTATCTTTCTCTGTCTTTGTAAAATCAAGCTGATTTCTGGAGAACTTTTAAATACATCTGTAAAACTAATTTCACAGAGTAAAAACTTTTTTTAATGTTACAGCTTATAAACATCTGTAAAACTTTCATGTAAATATTTTGCAGATTGTGATGGTCCTTTTCAAGCAACTCAGCTGTGGAATAGTATTATTCATGCTCTTCACAGTCAGGTGGAAATCAAAAGACGTAGACAACATCTAAAAACGTATAAAAACTGTTTCACCGGCTCAAATGCTGTTGATGTGGTACTGAGCCATCTTATGCAAAGCATGTACCTAAGCTGCAATGATATTTCTCGGCTGAAGGGAGTCCGTGTATGCCAAGCGTTGATGGATCACAAGGTGTTTGAGCCAGTTGGAGCAAAGCTTTACTTATTCAGGAATGAGAAAGAAACAGAGTTTGAAGACACAAACACTAGTCTCTATAAATTTGTAAATAGCAGTCTTAGTCCTCATCTTCCGAGAAAGAATAAAGACAATGAGAGCTTGTCTCCTGAGCAAATCTGCAAACAGAAGACAAAAAGACGTTCCAAGTGAGTTACTCTGAACTATTCTGATTTCTTTCTTTTTTTTTTTTTTTTTAATTTAAGGTGGGTTAACTGTAGATGAAGTTATGTCTGTCTAACCCAGGTATTGGAGACTTTTGAAAACTACATGCCAGTTTTGAGAAATGTCATGCCTAAGTCGCAGATGCTACCTAATATTTCTTGGTAATGTTAAACTGCTTTGATATGCCCTTTGTTATTTAGAATAGAGTCTGGCACAGTAGCATAAGCCCAGGAATAATTTTGTTTTGCAATCAATTGTACTGAAATCTGAGAATTAGCTGGAAGCTGGTAAAAGAAGCTGGAACTAATGGAACTAATAAACGGTATTTGGAATCAATATCCTTGCCCTTTCTACAAAGCAGATGTGGATGATTAGTTTTCTAGCAGCAGGATAGACCCCAGATACAACGAAGCCCTAAAGTCCTGATTTAACAGCAATTTAGGAAGTGACAGAAAGATAAATGTGTCCTGATCGTATTTTTTATACATCTAATTTTCCACCCCCCCCCCAAGCAGAACGAAGTGTGAAACAACACTTTCAAACCCCTTAGCATTAGAAGCAGCCGATAAAAAGAGGGTAGAGGAGCTTCTTCAATCAATAAATGTTCACGCATCTTTACCTCCAAAGATCACGGTTAATGAACCAACTCATCGGCTTTCAAAAAGAGGTGAGGATTGAATTTTTCTTTTTAAAACTTGATTGTTCTTCACTGTACCTACTTGGAGTGAGTACCTCATTTCTGTTAAGCACTGTCCCTCAGAGTCCTAAATTTAACATGTCACTAATGACAAAATAGCTAAATGAGTGCTATTGGTAAATGCTCATAGTAAGTAAACTGAAGGAAACAAAACAGGATTAAGTTTTTGCAGGATGGTGCTATTCTATTTATGCAAATACCACTTCAGAAGGAAATAGGTTTTAAGATTAAGTACATCTGTATTATACAATTCCTTTGCTATTCACTTGTCTTTTCTTGTACGTAATACTAATTAGAGTAGGTTATTACTAATTCTAATATGATGGGGGAGAGAGATGTTCTCTTTAAAGCCTTCTTTCTTAGCATTCCTATTTTGATCTCTTCTTCCCCAATGCAGAAACTTCACACTATGCTGTTACCTTGTTTTCTTTCAGCACTTAAAACATTCTTGAGTGAGTAAAAACAAAGGTTAGTGTTTTACGTAAGGTCTTATTTCTGAGGGTGTTCTTTTTGTTTGTTTATGGTATCAGTAATAGAAGATGTCTGGAAACAGCAAACTCTGCTACGACTGCTGCAGTTAATTGATGTTCCGCTTCTAGAAGATGTCTTGGTGTCTTCAGTGAAGACAAAACCAGACTGTTTTGGCAAAGAAGACGACCTGATTATCTCAAATACTTTCCTGGACAGAGAGGTTACATGTAGCTTAAACTTGCCTGAGTAAGTTATACATCTATAAAACGGATTTGTTAGTAAAAGCTTTATTTTATTCTTGATCAAAGATTTGTGTTAAGTGAACAAACCAGACATCATTACACTTGTATACTTGTAGACAGGGGTGGCATTAACGTCCTTTCCTTTGTTGACTTCTTTTCAGAAGTGGTAAGGGAATTCACAAAAAGTATATGTTTAGGATTAGGCATTTGAGGATTTTAAGTAGACATTATATATACATTATTATATACTTTAACCTCAAGTGTTGAAAACGCTCCTAGTTTCTAGACCAGACACTTCACTCTTAGGTCTCTATAACAGATATTGGAACTTGAAAAAAATTATTCTGAGGCTTTTTGTTTGTTTGTCACAGTTCCTGGTGGTGGTGCTGTGAAGATACGAAGTCAATAAGGCATCTATTGTTAGCAACAGAAAAGGAGAAGCTAAGCTGTAGCACTGAAGAATGCTTATATCATGAGAATATAGAAGTGAAAGTGGCTGCATGTCATCAGTGTTCTTTTCCTTAAATGTTCTCTTATTTTTGTAGTATTCCTGGTGATGGCGCTTGGGCTGATCTCTATCTTAGCATGTACTTTTAATGAATATGTCAAGGCATGTCTCCTCATGTGTGTATGTCTGAGTAATGCTTATTTCTATCAAATCAATACAATTTTTATCTGTTCGTGAGATGGAGGTCAATCTGTGTGCCTAAAGAAACTCTTTTTTACAGTTTTTATGTAATATATATAACATATAAATTATATAATGCACATATAAAAAATATATAATATAATAATATATAATAATATATTATAGATATTATATTATATATAATATAATATTATAATCTAATAATATATAATGTTATATTATATGCAATATATAATATTTGTTATAATATATATAATTTTATAATTTTTATATATTATGCATTATATAAGCTAATGAAACTCCTGGTTCCAAACTAGTTGTATTGCTGGATAGCATCTTAACTCCATGGATTGTTCCTCCCAGAATGGCTTAATGAACACTGTTTCTTTTGAGCTTTATACATCTGTTGTACTTGATTCTTGGGTGATTGGTGGGTTTATGTCTCTTAAATTCTCATATGTGGTTCTTACTCTGTATTATTCTGTGTTCAGTGTCTCTAACATTTGGGTCTGTGCTAATATATCAGATGAGTGTTAAGAAAATTAAATGTTTGCTTCGTTACTTTATTCTACAATTACTGAAGTGGGGGGCTGGAGTAGCATCTTTGTAGATAGTGTATGATTTAGGTCTGGCTTATAGCATGCCTGAGAAATGGAAAATTCCACGTATGAAGAATAGCCACCAGTATTACAAGTAGTTGTAGGATTAATTGCCCCCAGTATAAAGACGGGGGAGTAAGCATAATTTATATCTCAAATTTTCTGTCTTCACTTTTCAAATAGTGTCATGTTATGCTTGAAATAATCAAATACCTGCTTTCTATGTAGGTACTTAAAAACTCTAATGAAACCCTGCTTGCAGTGATTGCACTCCTCATGGGGTCCTAACTAAAGGGAGATCATGATCCTATTTCTGCTTTACTGAATTACCCATTCATGCATCCAAGAGTTATACAATCCTTGTTGGCCACAGCAGTTCTAACAAAAGTTCATGTTTATCTAGCTGTCCAGCAGCAACTTCAAAATCTTTGTTTCTGTTCTCCATGGTAAAAATAAGATTCTGTGGATCTTAAATAATACTTGCATCTTCTCACAAGTTATAAAATAATTTTAACTGAATCAATATCCAGTGAGTTAGATAAAAGTAATTCTCCCTCTGCCCCCCACAGTTCTATAATTTTAGATTTCTGTACAAAATGGTTGTTAGTGACTTTTTCCTCTGACCTTCCAGCCTCTTTGAACAATGAGTTCAAAGCTGCTAACTCATGCCTTGATTTTATGAGCGCAGTTCAATTACTTAAATATTTGAAAGGCTCTAGTGTATCTGAGACAACGACATGGAACCTGCACATATGAGACCTGATTTGTAGGAGACCCTTGCCTTTCTGGACAGGAAGGACTATCCATCAAGCGCAGATGTCTGTTGTAAGGGAAATGAAACACAGTTCATGTAAGAAATGCTTCATGTGTCTGAAAGTTGGGGACAAGAAAGAAATGGAGAGGAAACCCATGGAACGTATGTTTCTATCATGTTGTACAACAGAAAATAAAGTTTCAAGGCTACACCCCCTACACAGTAATAGGTAACCGGGAGATCATTTCTTAAAAGGCATAATATGAAGGAATTGGTATATCTGTGATCTCTGGGGACTTCCCAACCATCTTGAAGTACTATTTATTGCTTGCACATCCGTACTAAATTTGAGAGTGTACATTAAATGAATGTTTTGACATGCTCTGTGAAAAGTTCCTAAGAATGTCCATAACCTGTGAAGTGGTGAGTGGACTCCATCACACCTGGGCATGACTCATGGACATTACCATTCTCAGATGAAGCAGACAAAAGCCTAGACAAGAGGGACAGTCAGAGGATCTCAAATGGATTGAAACAATAAATATATTTCAATTTGTGTAAGATAATATTATTAGAAAAATCTACTTACTGGCCTGAAATTAACTTTCTAATTTACACTAATAAAAACAGCTCTGCATGTGTCACTAGCAAGGACAGAAAGACGGGTATCTTGTCTTTCAGACATATCGCTAACATGCACCATTCAATTGATGCTTGGTGATTTAGAGATAATTTCCTCATTACATCCCTACCCAGGTAAAGGGAAGGGAATGGAATTTTAGTTTCTCCTTACTTTTTCCTCTCCCTAGTTAAGTTATACAGGCAACAAATGCTTAAGAAAACTCATATCTTTACTGTAGGTCATATAAAAAACTGCTTCCACGGTCTTCTGGGATTTAAACTATTTTTATTTTTTCTCTGTTTTCAAACTGATTGTGTTGTTTCTTTTGTGTAAAGATCCAGTCCCTTGCTTTTTGAACCTGGTTAGCCCTGGTGGGTTTTCATTGTGTATGCTGGAGTAATAGTGGGGTGGTGTTTGGTTTTAAATACCAGCTGAATCAGGCAAGTGTCCTGTGGCAGACTGGCATGATTGCAGCTTGTTTTGATCTGGCCATACCTCAGGTGTATTGTCTGTAGCCTAGGAAAACCATGGAAGTTGTTTATTTGGAGCAGGTCCTTGAACTACTATAGTAGTTACATAAACTGCTTAGTAAGTTTAATGCTGTGGTTCAAATGTGTGATTATACCTGCATGGTTATTTCTACCTAATTTTCTTTAAAGGATTAAATAAGAATAGGCAGAGCATTTTAAAGTAAGCACTAAAACTAACTTTTCCTTCTACAGGCTTGACAAATGGCTCTATGCTGCAATTGAATGCTTGGAGTATTTCCCAGACCAATTCATAGTGATGGTTAGTCAGCAGTTACCTCAAAGCACTAACAAACCCAGCAGTCTGAATACATACAAGAAGATTCTTTTTGACATTATAATAAAGTATTATAGTCAAAAGAAGGACTCCCTTCTTGCCACTCAGGATCTCGATATTCATTCAGGAATTATAGAACTTATAGGTAAGAGCAACCTGGAACAAAAAATACAAGTGAAAGCTGTATAAAGGATGTAACTTACTAAGCGTTAATTGAATCATAACATCATTTGCAATGCTATTGCAGATGCACTTTAATTTATAGGTTGGAAGGGAATGCTCGAGGTTGCTAGTCAGAACCTCTGCTCAAGGCAAGGACAAATTTCAAAGTTAGATCAAGTTGTGTAGGGCCTGGTCCAGCTGAATTTTGCAAATCTGAAAGGATAGAGATTCACCAACCTCTGTGGGTAACCTGTTTCAATATATCACTACTCTCATTGTGAAAATTTCTTACCGCTAGTCAGAATTTCCCTTATTGCTACTTGTGAATAATAACACAAAAGTAAAATCATTGCTATAAAGTCTTCTTGTTAACCAGAGTAAGGTTTTGTAAGTTCTGGACTTAGGGTTTTTTTAGTAATAGAAGTTATTTAAAATGATAAAAGGGGCTGTTGAGATTGTGATCCAGGCTGTGAACCCCTCAAAAAAACCCTCCCTACATACACTCACAAGTAAAACAGAAGGGTTTAATTTAAATACAAGTTTAAGATTAATCCTACCCTAAATAGGCCCTGTTACTTCTTCAGTTCTGTAGAGTTTATGGAGTGTTATCAAAAGTTTCAGTTTTTAGAGAACAAGCTTACTGGCATAAGAGCACAGTTGGCCTGTGTAAAAATTGGAGCAGAGTGGTGGATCCTGTGGCCAAAACCTCATGAAAATACAAAAGGCAATATTTTTATCAGTAGTATTTTGCTAAGGAGAAAAAAAAGAAAATTACAACAGAAATCATGAAAGGGAAACTATTGCAAAATTGCATAACCCATCCACAGAAAAAGAATGCTATTTGAAATAACTGACTTAGCTACTGGTGACTTCTGCTAAATGTTCATTTAAATTAAAAATGTTATTGTTCATATACACACTTTAAATGCATGTACAAAACTGATATAAACCAATATTATAGAGTATTTACTAAATTAGAGAATCAAAACAGCCAAATCTGTAGGCAAGGGAAAAGACAGTGTCATAATTCTGCTGAATTACTCTAGCGCTTTAGTTGCCTATAGGTCTTTTCCTTATTAAGTATCTGCTTGATCTAAACTACATGACCCGTGAAATGTCCAGGGCTATTCTGCTTTCTTAGTCTTGCTTTAATTTTGTCATCTTTCCAACTTGAGTAGGACTACCTCACAAGCAGTTTCTAATGCTTTATTTCTTTTTGATGAAGTGGTAGCCATAATTTTATCGTTAGGAAATGATTCTCTGTTTGAATATATTAGTCTGTGTTCTTGGGTCCTCAGCTGTGTTCTAGTTCATACTAGATCACCGTTAGGAGATTGTGTTTAACTATTTTACAACCATTTTTCCCTCTCAGTGCTATGGAATAGATTATGGATGTCAGTGCATAACAACTTGGATTCTAATAATAATTTTCAAGTAGAATCCAGTGCAATTAACCTTACTTTGATAAAGTGCTGTTGTTCTGACTCTAGTGCAAAAGAGAGCTCAAACTAGCTATGAACATCTACATATCTAAAACACTTTCAAAATTAATTTGAGAAGTGCTGCAGTTAGCTAAAGTATGACTTCATCTTGTTATCAATGTATATACGGTTATAACTATTTTCCTCAGTTATCAGCCATCTTAAATCAAACTGTCTAATACAGATCTGTTGTGAAGGCAAATATGTTGCTGTGCTTGTTGCCTTTAAAATAAACAGATCTTATGTTACAGATGAATGCAGTTGGTCAAACTAGTCCATGTGGTTTATTGAACCTTTTTACATTGGAACTCCCCCCCCCCCCCCAAGTCTTTTAAATTAATTCAGTAAAGCTTTAATCACAGATCAGAGAAACTCTTAAACTTTTCTCTAGAAATGATTTAACTTCCTGTTTTCATGTCTATGCTTTTACCTGACTTGATCATGTCCTTCGGCAATTCTCTTTCCTGCTTTTTTGTCTGCCCTTCTTTTGCAAAACGGTCACTTACTTGCTCTTTTGGTGTTCTTTTTAAACAAAGATGATTTCAAATGGCTTGTGGTACACCCCTGGAAGTCCTGGATTATTTCCTGTAAAATACCTCTGTCCCAATAATAGGACAGAGAGGCCAGAAAATCATACATAGGTTCTATTCCTGTATCTGCCCTCATCTTGCTCTTGCCTTAAGAAAGTTACTTGGCTTTTTGATAGTTCCTCACTTTCAAAGTGAAGATAACTAGAATTGTCATCTAAAGAGGTTTTTATAGGAGATTATTTCCACCTTATCACATTTCTTTGAGAAACTTATAACCTAGTGGCTTAAAAAGGGGACACACACACACCAACCAACCAACCAACAACAAAAAACCCAACACAAAACAAAAAACCCAAACAAACAAACAAAACCTCAAAGCAATGAGAAAGTTAGAGTTGTTCAGCTTGTTAATTACTTTGAGATGAATCCTGGAATATAATACGAAGATGTGTAAACACAAACAGTGCAAACATCACTTCAGTGTTTGCACATTGTATGCAGACCATAGTAATGTCCTGTATGTGTTGTCCAAGTACATCTGTTTCCTGACTAGCTATGGGACAAAGGTTTTAAGCTTATATTGATTAAATGCTGTATTAAGTCTTGTCAAAAGGTTTTAGAACTCGCTGAGATAACCTGCTTTGTTTGGAGGGGAAAAAAAACCAAAAATGGGATTAATATTGGAATTTAAATATGTATTCTTGACTCTGAAAATGAACAGTTGCACTGGATACACTGTTCTACTCCATTGCAGAAAAAGGAAAAACAGATCAAGCTCTAGAGGCATCACAACTTTATTTAAAACTTTTAGCACCAAATATCCGAGAAGAACTACATAGACTCCTGACATTCATAGCCATTGCATCCGAATCTGAGGGGTACAAATTACAAAAACAAGTAAGTATCTGTTATGTTTAGTGTGGGAAATAGCACTTTCCTATAGTAAAGCTAACTTTTTTTCCTCCAGAGTTAGAAGTATTCTGTTTACTGCTTTCCAATGTGATTTGTTTTAAAACAAATGTCAAGATGTTCTTCCCACTGATAGCATCCTGTTATACTTAGTCTTTGCTGACACATTGCAAGTAAATCTAATGCCAGATCTGGGTCGTTCTTTTTCTAGTTTGATAACAGATCGGTGGTCATCAAGACTTGCACAAAGTTCATCTTACAAAATAAGACATTGTCAAAACCACAGGCAGAACTGCTGACTCAGTTTCTGATGGACAATCACTCCGAGCTCTTCAAGGTAGCATTTTCCTTACCTCATTGGTTTTGTCATTTTAAATGTTAAATGCCATGAAGTGCCTTTTTGGAGATGAGAGGTCTGAGGAGCAATTTAATATTCCATCTGTTACAGTTTAATGGTACAGTCAAGTAGGGCGAGAAGCTATTTCAGACTATGGAGGACAGCTTTTTGAGAGCTTTGCCATCCTTTACATATAATATTCTCTCTCTTTATTTGCATCATTTGTGTTAAGAAAGTATTTTAAGAAATTTTTATAGAGGCCTTTTGGCACCTTGTTTCTGATGGCTGTCTACTATATTTTCAGGCTCCTTAATGTCTTTCTCCTTTAGAAGTCAGCTGACATACTCTGAGTGATATATAAGATGGCATGCTCTGGTGCCCCAGTGTACATGTACAGCTTTGAAAACTCTTAAAGAGTTCCCTTTGGTATTTTGAAATGTCAACTTCTAACTTAAAGAAAATAAATAGAACCACAAAATGAAATGGCCTTTCTTTTAACTTGATCAGTTATGTAAATATACAGATATATTTTAGTCTCCTTTATTTACGTTCCATCATATTGTCACACATGTGAAAAGATGCATGGTTTTTTTTGTTTGGGTGGTTGGTTGGGATTTTTTTTTGTTGGTTGGGGTTTTTTTGTTTGTTTCATTTTGGTTTTGGGTTTTTTGTTATTAAGGGTTCTGGCATGAGGGTTAGAGCTTTGATTTATGATTGGAGATGGAGCCAGATCTGACAAATGAAGTGCCCACTGCTTCATAGCAGTGAGAGCAGAGTGGATGGTGGCTCACTCTTTTACAACTGCAGATGAGAGCCTTTTGTATTATATAAGCTGAAATCAGTTCAAGGTCTACACTACAGTTTTTGCCATAGTTCAGTGGAAAACAACATCTAGAACATCTTGCCTCCTATTTCTTTAGGAAATATCCTCCTGCCAGAAATATCAGGAATAAACATATGTATATGTGTGTTAGTGCAATTTTTTGAAAGATTTTGAATATATGTACCTAAATAAATGTAGGCATAGATTCTTCTGTAGTTAATTCTGTGATTTTTAAATTGATCATCTGAAAGCTTTAGATTCTCAAAATACAGAAGTATTGGCTCTGTAACTTTTTTCTTTGTCGGATTGTATTTTCAGACTCCTTTAACTCTTCTGGAGCTAACTGGTAGGAGACTTGAGAGTTTGCTAGAAGGACAAGATCCGGATATCGATTCAGGTAGATTATGTGATACATATTTTTATATAAACCTTTCTATACAAATCGATTTATAACCAGTTAACTATAATTTTGCATAGACTGTTCTTTTCCTTTATTAGAAGGGAAGCATTAAAGCGACTAGTGACTAATTCACCAAATAATTAAATTATCTGCTATAAGCAAAACACTGACCTCTGAATATTGGATAACAAGGATTCTATTAATTATCTGGTTTGAACATGTTACAAAATTTTTTTTACCAAATAATTATTTCTGGAGAAATTAATGTAAAATGTGCTTCCTGAAGTGGCTTGCTTATAATTTGGTTTGTGAATTTGATGTCATGATTTTATATTTAGGAACAGCATTCTTATATTTCTGCCACAAGACACCTAAAAATTCATATAGAGCTCATCAGTTTGAGGTTCTAATAGATGTCTTGAGCACAGATGTTGATTGTTTAGTGTTTTGAAGAACTCTCTTCCTTTTCTGGGTAAGCACAAAGTTTATTAAGAGCTTAAGACTTACAGGAGGGTATTGTAGCCTAAAAGGAAGGCATTTGACACTTGGTGTGTACGTGGGATTAGTGTTTTCCAGCTCATTTCTTTTACAAGCTAGCATTCCATCTGTCCTTGCTGCCAAAAATATTTCAGCACTGTGATTAAAAGGGTTGGCTTAAATAATTTAATTTCTTCTGACTCTGTAGCTTCTTCCTTTTGACTTCTGTATTGCCAGTGCATTATGTGCTTAAACATTGAAGAGAAGCCATTAGGGAACTGAATAATACTGTGAGTTATTGTGCTATTTAATACTATATTTAATAGAGCAGCTGTCTGAGAAGTAGTTTTGGTACAGAATCTTTTACCATCTGTGTTGGGTTCTGGAATGTGTCCAAATTGCTTCCAGTTCAATGTTCTGAGTATCACATATTGTGTAGCCAAAGAATACAGAGATGAGCAACAGCAGAAGGAGTTGCCTGTCTACAGTATTCTTGGAGCCTGTGTGAGCTCCATCAGCACACTGAACAGACACCTGAAGTACAAACCCCATTCTGTATTCTCCCTACTCAGTTTTGGGAGTTTCAATCTGTAAATGCATATAGATTCCATCTACTTGTTGAAATAGCTAGTTTGATCTGATTGTAAGCTCTCCAGCATGGCATATTCCCATTTTCCTGTGTGCCTCATATTCTGGTGTCATTTTCCCTTTTCTCATGGAGGAGGCAGGAGGAAAATCTTTCCTGGGAGCTACTGAGCATTCTTAGCTGGTGAACTTCTGAAGTGCAGGTGGGAGCAGGAGGGAAGGCTGGGGGACCCTGATAACAAAAGGAGTCTGTCTATTGCAGGAAGGTAATCATTAGGTCTGCTGGAAAGAAACATTCCTAAAAGCAGTGAGGGAACTCTGGCGTTGGTTTTAATCTAGTAAGCCACTTGAAACCACTGGACTAAAGGGTCCACCTGGAAGTTTTAAGAGTTAATCTCTTTGACAGAAGTTGTTAAGCTTTCCCTTTTTAAAGAGCTATGTTTTCTTGATCTGACTCTACTAAACCATAAAAAGTATGTCACATTTGGTGTTTGACAGACTCATTGTAAAAGAAGGGAAGGACAGGTCCACATGAAAATTCTGGCAGCTCAGGTTATTACCGCTCCCTGTGTGAAGCCTTAGGAAGATGGTGTTTGTACAGAAGGAATAGTAAGAATTTTTTCCCCTTTAGGCAATTGACATTTGTTCAACCAACTTGCTCACTGACGTGTGGGGTAGCTGAACACCAGTCTTTCCTCAGGCCAGAACTCACTTGCCTGGTGATGGGGCTTGAATCCTTGCAGGACAGTACTCTACTGCATAGGTTCACAACATTTTTATAGCTTAATAGTGCTCTCGGGCTCCAGTTCCTTGCTCTGCCCTCACCCTGAACTGCTGCCTGTTCCATCACTTCTGCCCAAACCATGCTGAGCTGCTGTCTAGCCACCTAGAATCCTGAATTCAGAGGTGTGGTTCAGGGGCAACTGTTTCTCCAAAGTATTTATTCACTTGCATTATGTACTGGGCCTTGCTACGGATCTGATTCACTCACAGGGAATCACTGGATCATGACAACTGCAAGGTGCCATTCTTCTCATGTAGCATTCTTCATTATGGCTTCTGTTTGCAAGAACTGTATTGGCTCTTTGTCTTGCAGGCCTGTTTGCAATACAAAATCATCTGTGATATTGCAATTGTAACACTGCTTTTCAATTTTGTTTTTGCAATTAAAGTTTAGATGTTCATCCATGCTTAGTGGAGGGCTATATGTTTCACATTGTTTGTAGAGAACTGTAATCACATCTGAACTGGAATATCAATACACCTGTGTTTCTGATCATATATTTTTAATTAGGCTCTTATATGATGCATTAAACTTAATCTGAACCTCTGATTTCTTACAAAGGCTTCACCTTCTGTCAGCGCGTGACAACTAAAGAATATGAAGATCAAAAACAACAAACAAAGCAGTATCTTCTCGCATTGGTTCAAGAGATAGACAATGACCCCGCTATTCCTTTGAAGCAGAAGAAGAAATTAATTAAAGAATTCCGAAAATACCATTCTCTCATCTACTGTAGTGGTTGTAAAACTACATGTGAATTTTGTACCCTAAATGGTTAGACATCAATACAGCTTTTTTTTTTTTTTTTTAAAAAAAGGGCAGGATGCATATGAAAATTGCTCATGATACAAACCATTTTCTTCTTGGGTCCTTACATCTTCAGTTACAGGAAGCTACAACTATCAAAATTACTATGCTGCTAAAAAGCATTAATTCTAATTAATGACTCTCTTAAGCAAAATGTACTTAATTACTTTTAAGTTAGTAATAACAGCACACTGCTTGTGCTGCTTTGAGTTCAGGGTTTGGCGCTTTTTTCCTTCTGTCCCATGGCCCCATGGCCTTCTACCTGAGCCAAGTCTACATTCAGAGCCGTGCTTGGGTTGATAACCCGTAAGGTTTTTTATCTTTTGTAGCTGTAGTTCATAATCTAACTGTAATCTAATCTTAAACTGTAGACTATGACTCCTATGAGTATTGTAAAAGAGTACAAAGTGTGTCAAAAATGTTAGGAGCAGGTCAGTGGGTTTTGAATCTGTGGCAGGCAAGATTCATTAGGCCGGGGAGCTGTGTGTGCTTGCAGTCAGTAATTGTAGCCTGTTACTCCTTCCCCGCTCTGGCAGACTGAGCTGCCGCTAATCCGGCAGTTACGCAAAAGCAAGTAAAAAATTACATGTTGAAAAAACTTGAGGAATAATCTTTGTTTAGATCTCTTGGTGTACTTAAGCAATTTATTTCAACATGAGGATACTTTGATAGTGTCCAGTTATTTGTCATAAATACTTTGCTAGTGTTCATGGATTCATAGGGCAAAGCTAGAAAGCACGTTGGCCTGTCTTGACACATTGATGGTTAACTGTACGTTGACAAGGGAATGTTGATTCAAATCATTAAATAAACATGCAATTTAATGTTGTAGAGGTTAAATTACTTCTCCCATCCTCATGACAGACATTTGATCATGACATAGAAACATAGAATTGAGATTGGAATGTACCTCTGGTCTAGTCCCACCGCCCAGCTCAAAGTGGAGTCAATTAGTGCAGGCTGCTCAGGGCCTTTTCCAGTTGAGTTTAGGATATCTCCAAGGACGGAGATGCCACAACCTTTCAGGTGAGTCTGGTCCAGAGTTTGACCAGCCTCACAGTATTTATAAAACAAAACAAAACAAAACAAAAACCCACCTTACATTTAGGTAGAATTTCTTGCATTTCAGTTTGTGCCCATTGCCTCCTGTCCTTTCACTGGGCACCACTGAGGAGTGTCAGGCTCAGTCTTATTTACTGGCTCCCCTGAGCCTTCTCAAGGCTAAACAATTGCAGCTCTCTCAGCCTCTTCCTTGGATGACAGATGCTCCAATCCCTTATCATTTTCATGGCCTCTTTGCTGGACTAGCTCCACTATGACCATGATTTTTTTTTTTTTTTTAATTGTGAATATGCTGCTTTAGGTATGAACATCCTCAACTGCTCTTCAAAGATGTGGTCAAGTTACCAGGATACCAAAGCTTTCTGAAAACAAGTGCTGTTTTCTTTTCTTTTATAAATCGAAATGGTTACACTGTTAGATATAACCAACCATGTGTACAGGTAATAGGTTGTATTAACTTGCATATTTCAAGTAGTCTTATTTAAATGACGTGGCCCTATTAGAAGTCAGGGAATGTAGTTGAAACCTCTGTCCGTGCATCCCTGTTTATGCACTTGTTATTTAACAGTGACTGTCCAGCATAAAATAAGTAATTTCTGGAGGAGGAAAAAAGACCAAGTTTTACCTTTCAGAGGTTAATACCCCAATTACTAGACTACAGGGCCACGTATTCTTTTTTTATCCCTGGGGAGCAGGGGGTTTGGTCATTCTCCCAGAAAAAGGAGCATGTACAGAAGTAGGTTATTGAGAATTTTAAACAGGAAAGTATTTCCTGATTAAGTGCTTCTGGTGTTGAGTAGCAGGAGAAGGGGATTTTAGGTTTGTTTTGGGTTTTCTTTTTCCCCCTCTCTTCAGTCCCTTCACTGGGTCTCACTCAAAATACTGAACCTGGTAACGGGGAGGGGTGATAACATGGTAATTTGTAGGCTAGAGGGACTGGGAATTGCTTTGGGAAAAACTGTATTTTTAAAAAAGAAATTCTTGCACTTTGTGACTTGATTAGAATTTTCTTGTGCTAATTTAAAGATGACAATAAAGCATTGCATAAAAAGCGATGAATCTGTCTATCATTTCATAGTGTTTTCACAAGGAAGAGGCAGCTCAGTGGGCGTAGAACCAGGTATCAAACAGTAAGGAAATGCTTTACGTGGACAGCAGTTTATAGCTGCCAGGTGCTTTCCTTCAGTTCATGGGACAAGAAGTCAAGATTGATCTAGTCCTGCAAAGGAAAGGGAGAGCTCTTGAGAGCCCTGTTTTATTCACCTACCCTGACAGGAAGATATACTAATTTTTAATCTGTTGAAAGAAACGTGGTATTTTACATTTAAGTATAAGGGCCCATTGAACAGAACAAGTTTGGTGAACTACAGATTACTGTGTTTCATTGTTAAGCTTTCAGTTACATTCCAAAATTAGGAAAACCTTATTGGACTTTAGAAAGTTCTAGCACTTATTTTAACAATGATGTTTGACGCAGAATCATCTGGTAGGGAACCTCGGACCTCTCACTCGTTTCTATTCCATTCTCTGGAGTGTTGGCTTCTCTTCTATATTGCCCTTACGCTGAGACCTCTGGATAGCAACAGGAGCAGCTCATGAGACTCTCAAATGTTGATCGGAGCAACATGGCTCTTAACTCCGTGTGCTTATCTGAAGTAGAAAAGAAACGGAAGCCAGTGATGAGGATATCTTTGTACCTTAATGCTACCAGTGAGCCCAGGGGCTGGTGGTACGCACCTGTTTCCCCTGTTCACAGCGCTGACCGTTCAACTCCGTCAGGTACCCTTGGGTCACAGATCATCACAAAGAACAATTTTACAGAAGGTATAGTAGCTAGTTATGCTTCAGAGTGCCCCTCTCTGGACCTTGTCAAGGATCACTGGAGGGGCATGAAACCCAGTGAAGCCTCTGCTTGATCCCTGCCATCAGCTGCCTAAGTCAGGCAATGCTCTTTGTTCCAAGCTAGGTAAGTGCACTGCGTAAGCATACTTACTGGTTTTACATAGCGGCAGACAAGAGAGGGAATATGAGACTTCAGCTGAGAATAGGATACTCCTCGGCAAAGCTGTCACCACCGGGTATCACCAGCCCTATTAAAAGGGCAATTCCCCTGCGGCCACGAGCTGCATCAGGTCAAGATCTGTGTCAGCACCTGTGTGTCCATCATCCTCCCTGTGCGAGCGCCTGCCTCTGTCCTGGCAGCCAAGCAAGCCAGGTGGGGCACCCCCTACTAGTGCAGCCCTCCGAGGCTTCTATCTGGTCATCAGCCCGTACCGTTGCTCTTTCCCCTCCTGCGTGCAATGCTGCACAGGCTGATGGCGCAGTAACAGAGCTGCTGATGCCACCTTTGCTCTGTAAACAGAAATTAAAAGTACAGGCTGGGGCATTTGAGTGTATCTAGAATGCATAGATAGGACACACCTGGGATTACCCAGGACACAGCTGCAAGCTTCGCTCACCTCAGACACCTTCTGATGTCACCTTTTCAAGAAAGGTGAAGGCAGTGGCAGGAAGCTTATTTGCTCAGCCATTGTTTAAAACAAAAACCAAACAAAAAAACCCCACAACCTACAAACCCAAAACCCCTTTTCAAAAAGGGATTGTTCAAATTACTCTTTTCTCAAAGCCTAAGTATACTTTCAATAGCAGTCGTCACATTTCAAGTATATTCCTCTCATGGCTATTCACTAAAATAACCAAAAATAAAACTCACGTATTCCTTTTCAGGATAGGCAATCTCAAAAAGACCTTTTGAGATGTATTTAATGTCCATTCAATTGTATGCACAAGTTAAAATAATATTCATTTTGGGGTAAAAAAAAAAAAGATCTTGATTTCTTCTCACTATGTATTAGTGTCACACCACTACAAGCATTCACTATTTTTATTGCCTCATGCATTGAGGTTTTCTGCAGTAAGAGTACAATGAAGCTATCAGTAAAAGATGAGAACATAATGAAATTACAATGAACGTATTATTTCACAGTATTAGGTTTGCAAAACTTTATTTTTAAACTCTGAAAATGATTTTTTCCCAACCCACTTAAATACAGGAAAGCTAAAACACAATCCTAACTGACAGAAAACAGGTTGTAGTTGAAGAGTTCCATTCTGAGTAAAGCAATGGAATAACAATGTATCCAACTATGCTACCTATATATCAAATTTCTCTTCACAGATATTGTGTCCATGTTCTTCATAATCTTCTCTAGTTACTACCATGTCTTCAAAATCGTCATTTTCAGAAATGAGCTTCCCACCTTCCCAAGAGTAAGTAATAGGGCTGAAAAATGAACAGTTATTGTTACACATCTGTACGTTCATTTAAAATAGAAGTATGCAGTGATGATTTCCAAGACTTTTGTTTAGCCATACCTATTTAAAAATATATTTTTGACTGCTAAATCAAACCATCCAGCTCCAGGCAAGTTATGAGACAAAGTTTGAAATTATAGCAGGGCTAACTGACTTTGCTTTTTATAAAAAGCAAGTGCCTCTTTGGAGGCAGGTGTGAAGAGGGCAGGAAGTGGAGATGTCTTTGTATTTACTTTGCACAGATAATGATTCTTTAATAATATTTAAAAATACTCTTGTATAATACTTAAAAAAAGTGAAGAATTTTTGTACTTTCAAGATATACTTGTTTTGTCTCAGCTGTATACTCTCTCTCTGCAATGATATTACCCCCTCCAAATCCCTGAGGTGGCTACATTAATAATGACATGGCAGCATTCAGATGCTGAAAATTCTTCTAAGTAGAAGACTAAACTCTAATCTTGCATACTTATGTATCCACTAAATGACAATACAGTCTTATTTATATTTACAATAAAAAGACTGATCCTGAAAACACTTACTTATACGCTTAACTTTATTAGCCAAAGTACAGGGCAAGCAAGTGATCTCTGAT